CCCCCCTTTCCAGAGTGGGACTCCACCCCCAATTCCCCGGGGCTTTTTTGGGGGGCCCCAAAATGGACAAACACCCGCTTCGCGGGGGTTTCCCCGTTCCTGGGGGGGTTTTAGGGGGGTGCTATAACGATCTAACCCGCCCTCATTTGTGGGTCCCCAGATAATGGGGGGGGGGGGCCAAAAGGAGGTGCCCCGGCCGGCCGGGGGGGGGGGGGGAGTTGGAGGCAACCAGGTCAGCAGGGGGGGGCCATGAGGGGCAACCAGGCCAGCAGGGGGGAAGTTGGGGGCAATTTAGGCAGACGGGGGCGGCAGTGAGGGGCAACTAAGCCAGCAGGAGGGCAGTTGGGAGCAACCAGGCAGGCAAGCAGGTGAGCAATTAGGAGCCAGTAGTCCAGGATTGTGAGAGGGATGTCCGACTGCTGGTTTAGGCCCTATCCTGGGGATGAGGCCTAAACCAGCAGTTGGACATCCCCCGAGGGGTCCCAGATTGGAGAGGGTGCAGGCTGGGCTGAGGGAACCTTACCCCCCACCCCCATGCACGAATTTCATGCATCGGGCCTCTAGTATATAATATTACAGCAGATAGGAAGGAAAATGAAATAGTCAAAGGGGATAGAGCAGTGGTCGGCAAACTGCAGCTCGCGAGCCACATGCGGCTCTTTGGCCCCTTGAGTGTGGCTCTTCCTAAGCCTTAGGAGTACCCTAATTAAGTTAATAACAATGTACCTACCTATATAGTTTAAGTTTAAAAAATTTGGCTCTCAAAAGAAATTTCAATTGTTGTACTGTTGATATTTGGCTCTGTTGATTAATGAGTTTGCCGACCACTGGGATAGAGGGACTGGTCCAGTGGGGGAGGGGAAGTTGTGGCAACAATTTAGGAAAGGTGGTGAGTGGAGGCTCCACTGAAGCCAGGAATGGAGCCATAATAAAAACTGAAAGAATGCTTCCAAATGGTGAGCACGAGAGCCCTAAGGTGAGGAAAGGGTTGTTACAGGAAGAGCAAAGTGAGCATGGCTAAAATGGAAAGGCGAACAGGGCAGGAGATGCAGGCCATGGAGGGAGGGCCTTGTAGGCTGGTGAGGGCTCTGAATTTTTATCTCAGCCTTGGAGGATTTTGAGCAAGAGAGTGATATGATCTGATTTACATTTTTAAGAGATCGCAGTTGAAAAGAGACAGTGGGGGAGCTGGCAAACATGGCGACTGGGAGGCAAGTTAGGGAAAAGGTAATGGATATTAGAATTACTTCTAGCAGTCATATAGGCAAGAAAGGAGGCTTGGTTGGATTTGATGGGGGACAGTGTTGAGTGTTGTGAAGATGATAGATTCTGCATGTCTTCTGTAGGTGGTGATGAGGGGACTTGCTGATGGACTCAAGGATACATAGGGAAGAGAGGAGGCAAGGAAGACCAGTGTTTCAGACAGAGACACTGGGGTGCCTTTAACTGAGATGAGTTTGGGTTGGATTGGGTTGAAAGCGGCTAGAGAGAGTGTCTGGAAGGAAACAGAAATATTTCTAAGATATATCACCTTTTACACATACTAGTATGTCAGATGCTGTTAACTGTAGCCACAACCACCCACCCATTTGGATAGCATTAAGGCAGTTGGTGTTTTTACTTGTCCTGCATGCTTATTTTTGTGGTCTCCACATTGCAATCATTTACTTTTTAAAAAATACTACGTAATATTTAAGATACACAAAAAGATATAAAGAATAATATAATGAACAACCATATACTACCACCCAGCTTAAGAAATAAAGCCTTAACTTTCATTGCTCAGATCCCCTACCCTTCCCACAAAGGTAATCCTATGGAAAATCTGGAGTGTGTCCTGCTTGTGCATGTTATAACTTTATTTTATCCCTAAAAATATATTACATCATCTTGTATTTTATGCATTACGTGATTAGCATATACACTAACGTATTCTTCAGAAACGTGTTTTATTTTTCATTTAAAATTATGAGGTTCATCCATGTTGACATGTATAAACCTAGTTTATTGATTCACTACAATTTAAGAATTCCACTTATGAAAATACTACCACTTATTTATCCAGTTCCCATTGAGTGATATTTAGTTTATAATTTTTCACTATTGCAAACAGTACAATAGTACAAAAAGTTTGAGCAATTCTTATACATTTTATTGTACACATATGTAAAGTTTCTCCCTGTTTTATACCTAGAAGTGGAATTACTGGGTTGTAGGATATGAGCATCTTCAACTTCACTAAATATTGCCCAACTGTTTTCTGAAGCTATTATATCAATTTTCTTTAATATTAGCAATGTTCCTATCATTTGACGTCTTTTTTTTTTTTTTTACACTTTTGGACATCTTAATGAACTTCCCTCCATGTAGCTTCAAGCTACCAGGACACGGGCCCCTCCAACACCCTTATTCTCCTCCTCAGCTCTTCTGCTGGAGAACTTGGCCTTCACAATGACAGGCTTCTTTGGGAGCCTTCCCTTCCCTAGAACTTTGTAGTAGCCTGATTGCACCACATCAATGATAGGAGCAGCTCCAGTCTTGCTTTTGGCAGCATTTCCCCGTGTCTGCTCACTGACCAGGGTCCACAGTTTATCAAGGTTGACGGTTGGGCAGAAGCCTCTTTAAGCGGTAATGCCTCATACCAACTTTCCCAAAGTAACATGGGTGATATTTGTCGAAGTTGATCCTGTGATGATGCAAGCCACCAGCATTACCACGTCCCCCCGGGTGCTTCCTGTGCTTGCCAAACCAGCCATGGCCGTGGCTCACGTGGCCCCGAAGTTTTCGGGTCTTCCTCAGTCTGGATGGCATGTCGGTGGCCGAGCTGCAAGAGCTTATTTGATGTCTTTACCAACACTTCCTACTGACGA